TGGACCTCAGTGCAAGGCTGTCTTGCCACTCCTAAATAAAAGTGTGTTTCCTCCACTGCGATGGCCGCGTGGGGTCTCTCTGAAGGTCAGTAAATAGACACAAAGACACAAGTAAGCAGAAGGGTGGGTTCTAGTGTTCTATGCTACCGCAAGGAGATAACACTTACCGGTGACTTACTGTATGCTTGAAAATAGAACGCAGGATTCTGAATGTCTCTAACACAATAAAAATATAAATACAAGTCTGAGAAAGTGGGCATGCTAATTATCCTTCTGGGAATATTGCACTTCGAATACAAGCGTGGAAACACCGTGGTGTACCCCACAAATGTGAAAACTTACCACATATCAGTAGGAAAAAACCTCCGTGATATCTTAATAAAACACAGCCCAGTGTAGAGGTGGGTGCCTGTACTGCCAGCACTGTAGAAGCCCATGGTTTCATGTCCAGCCCAGAAAACATAGTGAGCCCTCCTCCCAAAAGTAAATAGGGGCTGAGAGTGTAGCTCAGTGGTAGAGCATTCTCCTGGCATGCACGGGGCCCTGGGTTTAATTCCCCATACCACAAAAATGAACGAACGAACGAATGAATGAATAAATAATGCAAATCTTCAAATTTTAAAGATAGAAAAAATTTATTTCTTTTGAACAAATGACTTACACATACAACAGTATGTTTTTTTTTTTTTTTTTTTTTTTTTGAAACAGGGTCTCACTTTGTATTCCAGAATGGCTTTGAATTCACTACATAACTGAGACTGGTCTCAAACTTTTGGCAATCTTCCTACCTCAGTCTCCAAAGTGCTGGGATGATGGGATATTTTTAATTATGGTGGTGTTTACATTGGTATGTGCATTATCCAAAAGGCATGAAACTGGACACTTAAAATGGGTGATTGTGTTTTATGTAAATTTTTCCATAATAAAGTTGATTTAAAATATAGTCATTTGGACCGTCCTCCCCTATCCTTTTTTAAAATATCAAGTTTGGGGAAGGGCAACAAAAAATCCCGTACTGTTAGGAGCACAGAAAGAAGTACATTGCTTGGGGCTAAATCCTGGAAGCAAGCAGCCATTAGGAAGGCTAAATCTTAGAAGCATGGCATCTCACAGCCTTCCGTAAGGCTGAAATGAACTCCTGCATGGGAAATGCTCAGAGTCCAGTCTGGCCCATGGCAGGCTCGCTGCTTTTAATTTACCAGGATATGACTTGTCGGATATGTAATCGCTTCAAATGGGCAACTTTTTCCTAATTCTAATTCTTTAAAAAATTTTATTTTTAGTACTAGGAATTGAAGCCAGTACTAAAACTGAACTCAGTCTACTACTGAGCTATACACCTGATCCTGTGATTTCTTTTTCTAAACTTCGAGACAGAGTGTTGCTAAATTGACCAGGTAAGTCTTGAATTTGTGTTTCTCCTGCTTCAGCCTCCTGAGTAGTTAGGATTACAGGTGTGCACCACCACATCCGAATTCTGCTTAAATTTTTAGCTGGAAATGAGCAGAAAATACAGAGAGCTTTTTTTTTTTTTTTTATCCATACCAGGGATTGAACTCATGACCACACACTTGCAAGGAAGGTGCTTATGCTGCTGAGCCCATACAAGGAGTTTTCTTACCTCCCCTTTACACTGAGTTTCCTCTATTGTCAACATCAACTGGGTGCTGCATTTGTTACTAATGATGAGTTAATACTGATACATGTTCTTTGATACATTGCTATTATTAACTAAGGTCCATAGATGCAATAGGGTTCATGGACAAATGGATACTGTATCCAACATTGAAATGTTATACAAAGTAGTTTCCTTGTCCTAAAAATTCTGTGTTTCACCTTTTCCTTCCTCTTCTCTATCCCCCTGCAGCTACTGATCTCTTTACCAGTTCTGGGATGTCACAAGGCCAGAATCACAGTGTGTAGCGTTTTCACACTGAGTTCTCTCCCTTAGAGAAATGGCATAGTGGCTCATTTTTTATTGCTGAGTAATATTCCATGGTGTGAACTGCCAGGGTTATTTCTTCACTAATCCATCAGAAGACATTAGGAGTTCTTCCAAGATTGGCTCCTTTTCCTGCAGACATAAGCGTCCAGCTCCTTTGGAATACCCAGGAGTGCAATGCTGGGTATCACGATTGAAGTTTGCTTAGTTTTATGAGAAGCTGCTAAACTCTCATCCAAAGGGACAGTGCCACCTGGCACTGCCACAAATAGTGGATGGCAGGTCCTGTTGCTCCACGTCTGCACCAGCACTGGGTGTTGTCAGCGTCCTGGATTCCACCGTTCCAACAGCTGTGCCGAGGCGTCTCACTGTCGCTTTGACTTGCAGTTTCCTAGCCACGTGGCCATCCATCTGTCTGCGAGCCTTCTCGGGTGAGGTGACTGTCCAGATCTTTGGCCCAGTTTTTAGTTGGGGGATGAGATTCAAGTTCTTTGTATTTGGGCGCGGGCCCTTTATCAGATATATTTTTGCCAAGGTGTTTTCCCCCATTAGCTGGCTAGTTTTCCATCTCCCATTTTTCCAGGAACCAGGTACCTAGAATGCTTGTGTACACGTGAGCGTCTGCACGTGTATGGACCGCTTGGCACCTGCAGGGAGAGGACGGTGCCATCCTCCAGGGGCCGGCGTTCTGATCTGAGGCAGATGATTACGAATATCTTCAATAACAGGAACAAGCAGCGTGAGATTCAGTGCGAGGCGCTCAGCATTTTGGGAGGAGATGGGGGGAAGGAGGGGCAGGGAGGGGCTGCAGGGAGCATGCGCGGTGGAGGTGTAGGGGGGAGGCTCAACAGGGCAGCGAGAAGCAGCAACGAGCTCCGGGCTGGGGTGCGTCGGGGTGACATGGGAGAGAGGAGAGCTGAGAAGCCAGCTTCCTCTTTGCTCAGGGAGGAGCCCTAGGCCTTCTGAGAGGGAACAGGGAGGTGGGCATGGGCCAGAGTGGCTCTGGTGACATGGAAGAGGCACAGACAGGTTGGCACCCTTCCTAAGGAAAGTTTCCTGTTTAGAGAAGAGGGATATTTTCATGGCGAAGAGTCATTCAGAGGAAAAAATGTAAAAGCAAACCAAAACAAAAGAAAACAACCAAATAAAACAAAAAAAACCCTGGCTTGCGCCACATTCCCAGACACCCGGGTCTTGCCTCAAAGATGCAGAGGCATTGGGGGGGGGGGTGCTATATGGCAAAAATGAGTGCTGTTCTGCAGAGCAATCGGCTGGCACTTGGCAGGGCCCATGCCCCAGGCCGCAGGCCAGTGCCTCGCTGCTCTCCCAGCAGGCTCGGGGTTGGCTGAGGACACAGCCAGATTCCTCTCCCTCCAGCTGCTGGTATTTACTGGTATTTACGAGGCTCCTGTGTGCTCCCGCCTGGCTCTGCACCTCAGGGGAGATGGGGAGCTGCGGCTCTGCCTTCTCCCTGCTCCTGGCCTCCCACAGGGCAGAGTTTGCTTTAAGTGACCAGCTGGCCAGCAGGAAGCTGGAGATGACTAGTCTAGGGGAAGCCACTGTTCAGGAAGAAGCACTCCCGTCCCCAGCATCCATCACCAAAACAGCAGGCACAAGACATCAATCAAGTGTTTTAATTCCCATGTTAAACTTTCACTGCCCATGCAGTGGTACCTGGAGTCAAAGAGTCAAAGAAGTGGCATGAAAAGGTGGTGCTCTCTGAACTAGTCAGAGACCTCTCCGGGCGGGGCCTTGCAGGGTGACCTAAGCACTTCCTTCTCTGTCTAGCAGTTATCCTTGTCCCCCTCACACAGGTCCCTGGTCCCCATTGACTTCCCCAGCAAAGGCATCTTTTATACCTAGTTGGTTTTGAGACAAGGTCTCACTATGGAGTCCAGGTTGGTCTTGAACTCATTATGTAGCCAGGCTGACCTTGAACCTATGATCCTTCTGCTTCAGCCTCCCAAGTGCTTGGATAACAGGCCACCAACTCTGTCTTAAATTCAGGTGCCCTTTGAGATGCAGTGGGCAGTATGATGTCCCCCAGCATGTCCCCTTCCTCCCTTCCACCTTGCCTTCACTGTGTTCTGGGTGACCAGTGCCTGTCCCCACCCCAGCAGCCTGGTGCTCTGTGTGAGCTGTGGTTCTCCAAGCATGGAGATTGAATGAACGATGGTGTCAGGGACAGCTCCAGGGACATCAGGCAGAATTTCTCCTCTGAGAATGAGCAATAGATAAAATGACCCCTCCTAGGTTTAGAATGGCATTGTCCTATTGTCTCTGAATGCTGATTTTCCTTTTTGTAAATGGAGGAATCATTTTATCTTCCCCATATACCTCAGGGAGCTGTTATGAAAGCTAAACAAACAAAATGTGAACAAGCTCTGGGGCTTTATCCAGTGGTATGGCTTAAGGAAAAATCAGCAGGGGGACTCAGTGTAATCAGGGAGCCACCCACCACCTGGCTAGAAGCCTCCCTGGGTTGCTAGGAAACCATTGCAGGATTCTCAGCCAGCACAGCCCTGTCTCCACACATGGGTGTTCTCTTCCTCACGCCTTCCTTTTTGGGAACTGGGATCACTTTCCTTAAAGGAGGAGAGGCCTGGAGGCCCTGGGCTGTATTTTAAAAAAGAATGAGCCTGTGGCTCAAGTCTAGCTACTGAAATTCAGGTTCATTTCTAGCTCTCTCTCTCTCTCTCTCTCTCTCTCTCTCTCAACTTCTACAATTATAAACGAACAAGTACATGAAGGCATCACAAGAAAAAAATAGATAAATGGGATTTCATCAAACTAAAACACTCCTGCCCAACAGAAGAAATATTCAACAGAGTGAAGAGACAAGCCACAGATTGGCAGGGAATATTCTCAAATCATAAATCCTATAAGGATATTGTGTTAGTTACTATTTCATTACTGTAATAAAATATTTGAGGCTGCGTATTTGTAAGAGAAGAAGTTGATTTAGTTCATAGTTTGGGAGTCTAAAATTCCAAACAGCCTGGTGCCAGTTCTCATGAGGACCCACCTGGCTGGCTGTATCTTCTCATGGTGGGTGACATCACATTGGTGGTGACATAACAGTGGTGGTGACATCACAGTGGCTTGTAGCATCACAGTGGCAGGAGAACAGGCGAGAGAAGAGCTCATGTTAGCAAGACAGGGCGAGGCCAGGCTTGTTTTATAACACCGTGTTCACCAGAGCTAATTCAGGCCCACAAGGATGAACTCAGCCTTCTGAATACCATGCCCCAGGGACCAGGATGTCCCCAGCCCCGTGTCTTGCAAGTGCCACTACCTCTTACCATTGTCACACTGAGCACTAATCAATCTTCTAACAGGTAAGTAGTTGAGCAAACACACTGAGATCCTAGCAGGGCTGAAATCCAAAATATAAAGAATTCAAACTACACAACGACAAGGAACCAAACAGCCTTATTTTAAAATGGGAGCACCCCTACACACACATACACCAAAAACTCAATTAGATATTGCTTCATGGAAGACAAATCACCAACAGATATATTTAAAAATCCTCAAAATCACTAATCATCAGGGAGAGGCAAATATAGTCATAATGCCTCACCCCCATGAGGGTGGACTTTATTAAAAAGACAGCAGGCAGTAAGTATTGGGGAGAAGGGAACCCTGGTGCACTGCTGGTGGGAATGTGTGTCAGTACAGCCACTATGGAAAACATCATGGGAGCTCCTCAAAGAATAGAATTGCCATAGGATCCAGCAAGCCCGGTCCTGGGCAAATATTCCCAACAGCCAAGATAAGAAGTCACCAATGGACAAATGAATAAAGAAGACTGAGGTGCATAAACACAATGGAATACTTCCACCCTTGGATGAAACTGGAGGACATTAAGTGACAATCAGCCAGACACTGACAGACAAGTACTCCAAGATCTCTTACATGTGGAATCTCAGAAAAGCCAAACTCAAAGAGATACAGATTGGAATCATGGTTAGCAGGAGCTGGGGATGGAGATGGGTGAGGAAAGGGAGGCAGTGACAATGTCTTAGTTAGAAACAATAATTTTCATTAATCTCTTACACAGAGCAGTGACCATAATCAATCACAATGTGCTGTATGTCTCAAAGAGTTGGGAGTGAATTTTAAATGTTCTCACCACAAAGAAATGACAAGTAGGTGAGGAGACTGGTGTGTTAACTAGTGTGACTTGGCCACTCACAATTTGTACTTGACTCAAAACATCACATTGTACCATATATATAAAATATTACTTGTCAATGAAAGGAAAAAATTTTAAGTGCGTAAAAGATAAACATAAGCATCAAGGACTAATAATAGCAAGCAACTGTCCCCAGGACCCACACACCCTGCCAAAAAGCTACCTCCCGTTTCCCTCCCCTGCAGAGAAATACTTTCTTTTTTATTTAATTTAATTTCTTGATAATGGTTTTGCTGCACTCTAATGTCAGGGCTGGGTAATCTCACACAAGCTCTGGGCTCCCAATTCTTTTGTGCCATTGCTATCCCAGCCCTTTCTAGAAATCTGCAGGCTCTCTATGAAGGATGACCTCCACAAAGAAAACTACCGTACTGTGAAGAAGGCGCTTGAAGAGGGCATTGGAAAGTGAAAAACTGAAAAATAGGCAGAATCAACACTGTCAAAATGTCCATATTCCTCAAACCGTCACACAGACTCAATGCAGTCCCAATCAAAATGCAACAGCGTTCTTTACTGATGAAGATAAAAGTGTCTTACAATTCATGTGGAACCAGAAGAGACCCAGAATACCAAAAGCAATTTTGGGGAATGAGATCAAAGCAGGGGGCATAGCAATACATGATGTCAAGCTGTACTAGAAAGCAATGGTGATAAAAATGGCATGTTAATGGAACAAAAACAGTGTGGATCGGTGGAACAGAATGGAGGGCACGGAAACTCCCCGGGTACATTTAGAGATTTAATCTTCAATAAAGGGGCCAAACGCATAGGTTGGAGCAAAGATAGGCTATTCAACAAGTTCTGCTGGGAAACTGGCTACCTGTGTGTGAGATATTGAAGCTGACCCCTTGTCTCTCACTATAAGTGAAATTAACATCAAAAAGGATCAAAGATCTTGTCTTGGGTACTTTTCTCTCCTTGCTGAGACAAAACACCTGACACCCAAAATTAGGTAAGGAACAGTGTTTGGTCTTCCAACGCATAAGAGACAGAGAGAAAACGGAAAGAAAAAGAGGCTTTATTATGGGCACAGGAGGGCTGCCGAAGAGGCGCAAGCACCCTCTGGAAGGTTCAAGAAAAAAACCGTGGGCTTTATTCAGAATTGACGGGGCGGAGTTAAAGGGGCGGGCAGAGTGACGTAGTGACAGCTGATTGGAGGAGCACTGTAGGACAGGCACAAAGTGGAAAATCAGCTTGGGTTTGAGAGAAAAAAATGCAGGGAGGTGCTGTCCAGCGCCGCGTCAATCCATACATGGGGAAAAACCTGTCAAAAGGTTTATTTAGCTTACAGTTTTTGGAGGTTTCAATCCGTTGTCAGCTGGCTCCAGCGCAGAGTGGCATGGCATAGGGGCAACAAACAGTTCAAGGCAGCAGCCAGCAAAAGCAGTCAGAGCAAAAGTGGAAAGAGAAGCCTCTTCTCCTCCTTTGTGCTGTGTTTAGGCCCCCACCCCAACCCCTGCCTCCCAGGGCGGCTGTAGCTCTCACAAAATCTCTGCGCCGTCCTGCACAGGATGAGGATATTTGCAAAGTAAGGATCCTGTCTGCCTGCTGAGTCTCTTAGTTAGACTTCTAAACTTTTAAAGTTGACACAACGTATCAACTGTGACAGTCTAATCATTAAAACAGAAATGTTAAACCTACTGGAAGACAAAACAGGTAAACACTTAAAGTATGGGTGTAGGAAAGGATTTTCTAAACAGAACCTCAAATGGGTAAGTAATAGCAAGAATCAACAAATGGGATTATGTCAGAATGAAAAACTTCTGTACACTAAAAGAATCAGTCAGTAGAGTGAAGTGACAACCTGAAGAATGGTGAAATTTTTTGCCAGCTACTCCTCAGACAGAGGACTAATACTTAGAATATACAGAGAGCTAAAAAACAATTATCACCTAAAATTAATGATCCAGTCGAGAAATGGGCAAGAGAAGTGAATAGAATCTAAACAGAGGAAAACTATAAGTAGCCAACAATTATATAAAATAACAATTATATGAAAACTGTGGTCAACATCTCTGGCCACTAGAGAAATGTAGGTTACAGCAATGCTAAGATTCCATCTTACTCCAGAAAGAATGATGGTCATTAAGAACTCAAACAATGACAAGTGCTGGCAGGGCTGGTGGGAGTGTAAACTAGTACAATCATTATGGCAATCAGTGCAGAGATTTCTCAGTGAAGGGAGATTAGAAATTCCATGTGGCCAAGTGATTCTCCCGCCTGGCGTCCTCTCCAATGACCTTAAGTCACCATCCTCCAGTGATACCTGCACACCAATGTTTATAGCAGCACAACTCAGAGGGGCTAATGCCTGCAGCATCCTGTATACCCATCAATAGACGACTGGACAAAGGAAATGGGCTGTCTATGTGTAATGGAATATACTGGCTATAAAAATGACACACTTGATACATTTGTAGGAAAATGGATTCACCTGGAAAATATCAAGTTGAACCAGACACATACCATAAGCGTATGGTATTTCATTTGAGTGAGGCAAATAAAAACAAAGAGGATAATAAAGGGATTGAAGGGATGGCCTCCTGCAGTGGGAGTGGTCTGAGGGAACCAGGGTGAGGACAGGGGAAGGGGAAATAGGGAGAGTAAGGATGTGGCACATGCAGGAACCTAACATCCCAACGGGAAAGCAAACACCATGTGCCTTAACACAAGCAAAGATGAATATCTACAAGGATGGAAAATGGGTTAGGGGACCTGGAGGAGGAGGAAGGGAGAGAGGGAAGGGAAGAAACGGAAAAGAAAGAAGCCGCATCATAGACATGCAACCACTGCCTCAGGTGACTGTAAGCTGCAGCAACTGCAAACATGCACTAATTAAGAATTAAAAATTAAAATTAAATAAAAAGAAATCTCTAGAGTCCGGTGTCCAGCCCTGTGCTTAGCCAGGCTGCTGAGAGTCTGAATCACCTGGACTGTGCTGTGTCCAGCAGCGCTGCGCTCCTGGTCCTCTCCCAAAAGCATGGCTGTCTTTCCTGCTGCTGGACCCTGGACCTCTATTCCAGTTCCTCCAGAAGCTGACCCCGCCGCTGGAGTCTTTCACTGGGATGACTGAGACAGCCTGCCTGCTTCTACCTTTGGCCCAGTGGTTGATGTTCATGGTCCAAACCAAAGGATGCTTTTAAATATCGGAACCTTGCCTCGGCATCCTGTCACATTAGCAGGAGAGCCAAAGTTCTTACCTCAGGCTCTCAGCACGCCCATCTTTCTAGCCTCACTCACCTGTTATGTCTGTTCCAGTCCTGCTGTGCTCCTGGTGGTCCTCAATGCCCCAGCCTCCTTCTACCACAGGGCCTTTGCACACATTGCTCCCTTGTGCTGTAACTCTTTCTTGAGTGTCCTGGGGGTTCCTTCCTTGCCTCTTTATACTCCTCATTCCAATGCCATGCTGTCTGGGAGAACTTTCCCAATTACCTTCCTGGCACTTCCTACTCACTTCCCCAGCTTTACAGTGCCCCACTTAGGCTGTGCAGCATACTGTGTGCATTATTGACTCTTTCCTTCCCCGTTAGCAGGTCAGCTCCAGCTCTGTTTTTCACCTCTGTTTTGTGTATCTAGAACAGTGCTTGGTTTAATAACTGCAGAATGACTGGATGGATTTCCTTAAGGTCACTAAAATCCCAAACAACAAACATCAGTGGGTACCATCAGTTCCTGACTTCTGTCCTTTGAAAAGTCAGAGGTTCCTTCTCTCTCTCTCTCTCTCTCTCTCTCTCTCTCTCTCTCTCTCTCTCTTTTGTCTTTTTTGAGACGGGGTCTCGCTATACCAGTCAGGCTGGCCTTGAGTTCACTTCGTAGCCCAGGCTGGTCTCGAACTCACAACGATCCTCCCACCTCAGCCTCCCGAGTGCTGGGATTACAGGCGTAAGCCACCACGCTCAGCAGTCCCTTCTCTTTTAAATTAAATTAAATCCAAAGCTGTAACTAAAAAAAAAAAAATTGAATTAAAGTTAAGAAGTTCTATTCAGTAAAAAACAAAACAAAAAAGCAAACCAAACCAAACAAACAAAAAAACTCCTTAAAGATACTCCTGCAAGACATGATATTATAAGACATATAGCCCAAAAGGATTAATATTCTTAATCTTATTTATTTGATCTGTCATACAAATATATTCCATTGCATCATCGCTTGTAGAAATGGCTTAATGATATAAAAATGACCTTGCAACTTGCTCATCTATTTACAAATATACCAGAGACAGCTTTCTGTTATATTTGCATAGTCCATACATTTAGACTTAATTCACTCCATTTTCTCAACTTTCCATTGTAAGCATTCAGATTATTCTGTTTTGGTGATCAGCCAGCAGCTCGCTGTGGTGACATATGGAAGAATGTTACTGTGATGCATTGCTTGGGCTTGAGTCTCAGCTTCGCCCTTGCTAGCTATGTGCCTTACCAAGATACTTGACTAAAATTTCAGCTCTTGATATGACAGGAAAATGGTGATGATTCTCTGCTCGAGGGTTTGTTGTAGAGGAATTACAGTTGTACATGTAGACAGGATGCCTGTTCTGCCATGTGCCTGCCTACACCATGAAAGTTTGAAAGTGTCAACTGTCTATCCTACAAAATGCACACTTGTTCCTGTTTCTCTGGGTGCGATTTCTAGGAGTCTGATGACCTAGCCAAAAGATAGGAGTATTTTTAACTTTAATTAATACTATTGAATTATTTGCCATGACAATTGTAGCCATTTTTAGTCCTACAAACAAGCAGTATATTATGTGACTATTTTACCAAACCTTTCCCCAAACTGGATAGTACTAGTATTCACAATTTGATTTTAAAAAGTAATAAAAACTTTATTAATGAATGTCAGTCCTAACTTTTCCATCCTTTTGATGTGTTTAAATTTCCTGTCTGGTTTCAAGCTTAATTCCTTGAAACAGAGGATATCCCAGAGCATAGGCTGACTGCCTGGGATCACACTTACAGCAATAGAGGGGAAAAGCAAACCCTCGGCTCAGCCCCCAGTGCCAAGCCCACACTACCTTAATTATCAGAAAATACAACATGTAACGGTTTGCTATCACACAGTAACATCATTGCAGAGACTTGTCTTGTTTTTTGAGTGTTTTAGGTGGCTGGGCATGTGGCTCAGTAGCAATACCCTTGGCAAGCATGCATGAAACCTGAGTTCAATCTCTGGCACTGAAAAAAAAGTTTTTGGTTATTCTTGACCATTTGTTCCATACAAAATTTTCAAGCCAACCTATTAAAAAACCTTCTAGAATTTTTATTGGAACTGTGTTGAATCAGTAAATGATTTTGGAGGCAGTTTTGTTTTTGAGACAGGGGCTCCCTATGTAGTTCAAGCCAACCTTGGACTTACTCTGTAGTGCAAGCTGGTCTTGAACTCATGGTGATCCTCCTGCCTCAGCCTCCTAGGTGCTGGAATTACTGTTTGATAATTGTTATCTTACAATCAATATATTCAGCATCTCTACCTACAAAATAAACTCACCTGAGTGAGGTATATTTTTTCCTTCTTGGTCTTCCTTAATGTTTCTCAGTAAAATTGCATAATTTTCTCCAAAAAGATCTTGACCATTTTTGTTGCATTCATTCTAAGCACTTTAGGTCATTTATTACTACTATAAACAGCAAATTAAAAATTACATTTTCTAATTCTGTTCCTAATGTACGGATATCCATTTGCTCTTTGGTATTAAGACCCTGCTAAACTTTCTTATTAATTCTGATACATTAAGCAATTCTTTTACATTTTCTACGGAGGCAAACATAATGGGAAATGTTGGCTGAAGTTTTTCTCTTCCAATTCTTACTATTTTGTTTTCTTGGGTCCTGTTGTTCAGTAACATGGATAAGCAAAATAATCACAGTGGGAATACCAGTTTTGTTTCTAGTTTATTTCTCAGTTGACAGAGTAAAACCATCATATTTCACTAAGAGGAATCGGAGCTGCCGGAAGCTTGGGGCAGAGAGCCCTTGGCAAGCCTGGGAGTTCCTGTCTGATCCTTGTTTATCAGGTTTCAATTACACAAGTATGTGGATTTTATCACCTGTCCAGTAACTTCTGACCTTAGTCTTTGTTCTTGAACCTTGGCAATTTACTTACATAGATTTCTTAATTTTCTCTTTTTCCTATCACTCTTTTCTACTTTGAGTGTTAAGTTATACTGGTTTTGTAGAATAGATTGGGGCACGTTTCCTTTATTTTATATAATCTGGAAAAGTTTGAATTAAGATTAGAATTATCTGTTCTTTGAATATTTGGCAAAAATTTCCCATAAAACTGCTTGTAACCAGTGTGATTTTAAGTAATATATTCTTTTATGAATGTCAGACCATTTCATTTTCTTATTTTTACTTGAGTTGGTTTTGTTGTCATTATACAGCATTTTGTTGATGTTGTGTATTTTCAAAGTGTCATGCATACATTCATAAATATTCTAATTTTTAATGTCTTCTATATGTGCTTCTAACTTCTAATGTCTTCTATATGTTATTTATTCTTCAGTTGATCTTAGCCAAAAGGCTGAGAAGCGATGCTTTTATTCTAAAAAGTGAACCATTTTTTTCCTTTTTTGAACAATCTGGCCTCATATCTATCTTTTCAAAGAACCAACCGTGGGCTTTGCTGATCCTTGATTCTGTGGTCATTTTTTGCTTCTAATTATTTTTTTTTATTCTGCTGCCCCTTTTCTGCCTTGTTTTATCTTTTATAATTTTCTAACCTACACATTTGAAGACCACCAATGTTCTATAAGCAAAACACTTGCTGTCTTCAGTAAATTTTGAGAAGTGTTTATTTCATTCCTGGTCAGCTCTAGTTATTTCCTAGTTTCTGAAATGGCTTCTTTAACCTAAAGTTACCTAAAAACATGCCTTGAAATTTTCAAATGCTGTTTTAAAAAAAGTTATCTTTCGCTATTGGTTTCTAACCTAATGGGATTTTGGTCAGGAAAGGTGGTCTGTATGAAAGGTGGTCTGCTGTTGGGGGTTAAACGTGTCCCATCTCCTAATCCCTGAGAATGTGACTGTTTGGTGGTCTTTTCTTCGCAGGTGGCAGAGATTACATTGGATTAAGATGTCCCCTAAATTAGTGACGTGTGTCCTTAGGAGAGACACCGACGAGACCCTGAAGAGCGTGGAGATGCCGGCAGCTGCCTGAAGCTGGAAAAGACGAGACAGTTTTTTTCCAGTGCCTTGTGGGCAGCATGGGTCTGCAGATGCCTTAAATTTGAGCTTTCAGGCTCCGGCTTTCAGGCTCTGGTTCTGTGAGAGGACACAGTTCTGCCGTTTGAAGCTTTTCGGGTCAGTAATCCTTTGTCACAGTAGCCACAGAAAACGCATATACCCACCATTCCCATTCGCCATTTAACCTGGATTCTCTTCTCCTGCTGTGAACACTTCACCATGGGTTAGGCCCATTTGTGTGAGAGGAGGGCCAGTCCTGCGTGCCCTCTCCCCTTCCTCAGCCCTCCCTCTGCTCTGGTCAGCACCACAGCAGATGCGTGGAAGAAAAGCCCTTCCACGAGCTTCCAGGAGCAGACAACATGGCCTGTCTCTCCCCTCTCGAGCTGCAGTGAGAGGCAGGTAAAAGCACTTTGGATGTCATGGATAAAGTGATGACTTTGACCTGGAATGATTATGCCCCAGATGATAAATGACCTCTGAAGGGCAGTTCAGAAAAGTGGGGAGGACGCCACTGGGTGCTGCCATCTTCCCCCAGCTGGTGAGAGCCCGGTGGCCTGGGCCTGAGAGGAAACTGTCGTGTCAGGAGGACTGAGCTGAGGATGTGGCTGGGAGCTCTGAGCCAAGAGAAACAGACCAGCAGGTAAACTCCTGGGTTGGAAAAGTCTGACTGTAACAAACCTCATTGTATGGAGGGCCATGTATAGCTCTGAATTTTGATTACATATCAAAGGCCCCAGCCTCTCTGTGAGGGACTCAGGGTAAGTCACGTCATTCACACTTTGTAGGAGAGGGGACTAGAGCCTAGAGAAGCACAAAGGCTTCATGAAGGGGATATTTGAAATGACAGGGAAGGAGCTCAAATGAGTCTCCCAAACTGGGCCACAGCCAGACTTCTTGAATTCTATGTTGCTTTCCTAGGACACCTATGATCTCACAATGGTGCAGGGTGTGAGGTCATGGTGACAAAGAAAGATAGATGTGGTCCCTGCCTCTTAAGGAGCTCACAGTCTTGGAAGTGGGGCAGGAGGTGGGTGAGAGGCACAAAAGCAGATGCTGCCAACAACAAATACTATGAAAAGATGCCTGAGGCAGGCAGAGAAGGGCCTGAGCTCAGTCAAACAAGATTTTCCACCAGGGGTTGACCTGTGCCACCCAGAAGGATGTTAAAGTTCTAGCCCTGTCACCTCTGAGTGTGATGATAATTAGAAGTAGGATCTTGCCAAATACCATCGTTAGTATGAGGTCCTTAGGATGGAAGCCATTCCATGCAACCAGAAGCTGAAGAACACTGAGGAATGGCGGCCATGGCCAGAACCGGAAGTGGCAAGGAAGGGTTCTATGGCCTCTCGGAGGAAGTGTCTTGCAATACCTTGAATCGATACTCCTAACCTCCAGAGGAGGTTATGTAACTGCGTGTCTCCTCTACCTGTAAAGTGATGACAGTCACAGCACCTCCTCTGTTGCCTGGTGGGTTATGAGGGGTAAGAGGTGACTGGCACATGAGAAGCTATCAATCCGCTGTAGGGACGACTCTGCATCAGAAGTGCCTTCTTTCCCTCCCATAAAGCCTGGACTTCAGGCCCTGCTTCCTGTCTGCCCCAGGGCAGATGGCAGTGTTAGCATGAAGCTCGCCCCTCTGTCCTCAGCATCCGCTCCCTGCAGGGCTCCTCCCTTGTTCATTCCTCCCACAGATGTTGACGGACAATGTGCCGTATGTCAGACCTGTGTCAGGTGCTGGGGAGGCCACATGGAAACTGACACATGAATCCCTCCTGGACTCCCTCCTAGTGCAGACAGACTGGCAAGTGAGCCAGCTGGGAGGCCTGGAGTCACCAGCCATTCACATTAGCCCCACTCTCAGACTCCCCTTGGGTGTGAGGCGTTCACCACTAAACTCAAGAAAAACCTAGGCAAATCAGGTCACCTGTATTATCCCTGAGAACAACATAGGGCGCTCAGCACTGTGTCCCCGAAGCACCCCTTTTGCGTTCCCCAAAAGCTGGTCAAGTCATAGGACACAGCATGCCCAGACCAACAGGGAGATGGTAATTGGGAAAACTGAAGCTAGCTGTGTAAACTTCCCTCCTGCTCATGCACTACGGGAGCTGCTCCTTAGAATGCTGGTCACACAATGTAACATCACAAGCTCGTGAATAGGTAACCTGGGGTTGACCTATAACCCCCACTCCCTGCAATAACTGGGTGGCCGCTGGACTTTCATCCTTTCCTGCTTCAGCTTCTCCATGAGCCCTCTCCCTTCCTGTGAGTGCCTTCGCACACCATCTCCCAGTACTTCTGCAGGTTCCGCCGCTACTCCACTGCCCTGGCCTGGCCCTGCCAGGCTGACAAAAAACCTCTCGTGTGCCTTTCAGCGCTATGTTCCACATGGAGCTTCTGGATTTTTCTGGCCATAGAAGGTGTCCTTAAGGCCTTGTTTTCTTGTTTAGTTCTCTTCCATGTGACAGACTCAAGGCTGTTGAGAGAAACAGTTGAGTGGCCATGAAGCCTGGAGCCCAGATGTAATCCACCTGCCAAACAGGATCAGGGGCAAGGGACAAAAGTCCCCAGTTCCCCCTGCAGCAGGCTGTCAGCCTTAATGGATGTATTAATAGAAAGAGGCCACACAGGGTGTGTGTGTGGGGGGCAGGCTTGTTAAAAACAAAACACATCAACAGGCACACAGTGCTTTTGTTAAGGGGAGACAGAGAACAGACTGAGGCCCTGCTCCCAGACAGGGGAGGGCTGTGTTAAGACCCCTAAGGATATTGTGTTTCCAAAGGGGCTCAATCTTCTGTACTGTGCTGCGGGATCAGCAGGGCAGCCCTTTGTCTTCTGGTGACCTCTAGAAGCCTGACAAAGGTGCCATCCATGCTTCTGCTCTCAGCGAGCAAACCATTACTATTTCATCATCAAAACAAAACAAAACAACACAAAACAAAACAAATCAAAACCAAACAATCCCTGCCCCAAGCAACCCAAAGAGCCACCCACAGGGAAAACTGAACCAAGAGTAAAAACAAACACACGGGCAGAAAACGACGCCTCTCTGGAAGTCAGCACTGATAGCTTCTGGATAGGCATTGAAATTTCTCTTGCTTTCCAACAAATGGAATACCAATCCAGACATCATCAACCACCTTAGATATTTTAAGGTATGAACCCTCAGGCACAAAATCCTATTTATGTATTGTTGAAATGGCTCAGTTCTGTTTCAGGATTCCATCTCGCAGTGCACTGTCCGCCTCTCTCTCCTTTTAAAGGTGCCTTAGGCCTTTATTTTTGCTGGTCTAACAGCTGGTCTCTTCCCTTCCCATCTGTCTCTATCTTCTATTTTCATGTACGGCTCAGGCCCACTTCCTTCCTCCACAGAAACCTGTTTCTATGTTTTAAAAACAGCTGAAAGAGGCCTAGCTTTTTTTCCCCCTGGTACCAGGGTTTGAACTCACGACCTTGTGCTTGCCAGGCAGGTGCTTATGCCACTGCAAATCCCCAGCCCTGAGACCTAGCTCCTAATTTAGCTCCTAATTTGATGTTTTCTATCAGTTGTTAGAAAGGAGATTAATACTCCTCTGAGAATAAACCAAGGCTTGCAGGTTAGGTTTAAGTGTGAGATGACATAAAGTCAGCAGTTGTGACTGTGTTGCCTGAGACTAAAATCAACCAAATTGAGAAGGAAAGGTACATTTATTTGGGGCTAAGTAGGATTACAATCCACGAAGACATAGATTGAGAAGTCTTGAAAATATGCTTTGTGATTTCATAGCATTAAAGCTGCCAAGGGGGTTGGAAAACACATCGCTGGTTAGTCGAAAGTCATGACCGGTCCTCTGCTACTGATCATCACCCACTTACATTTCAGTAAACTTGTTTGGCCCAGTTTAAAAAGTTCAGCTGCAGACATATCTGAGATCTGATTGGAATGGCCTTTCATCTTCACCGAAATGTGCCAAACCAATGCCACTCCCTCTGACACTGACCCCAACCCAAGCAGATGTGTGAACACCGGTTTCTTCCTCTTAGGTTTGCACCTACACTGTGCCGTAGGCCAGGAGCCCTTATCACTGCGCTCCCAGTAAATGCCAGCGCATCTGAACTCACACTCAACTTATTTTACTGAAATTAGATCCACATTCAACTAATCATTCTCAGAAGAAAATTCAAGGGACAGAAATCTTTAGAGCAATCACAAAGAGCACTGTGTCTACTGGTCGCTGTGTGAACTTTAATTTTATTGATTCTCCAGACCGCTGTGCAAGTGAGCAACATGAGGCTGCCAGATGCAGAAGTGACAATTATTCTTATTTTAAATGAAAAACATTGGAGAAACAAACGAACAACAACAACAACAAAAATATATATATATATATATATAATTGCTCCCTTAGTTTTCTTGATTTGTAACTGCAAAATACAATTTCAGTAGCAGGACTAAGTTTTAGGTCACTCACCTAATCTATTGAAAGGAAAATTCAACATAAAAACAAAACAATGAAATAAATAACTTACGGAAGGTAGTTTTGGTGCATTGCACATTACCACATGAAACTCTAAAGCTGATTTTTTTTTTTAAAGCTTGCAGAACACATTTGCCTAAGTTTCTTGCTATGGGATACACGCTCCTGACAAGGACAGCTACCTCGGGTGGGCCTGTATGTAGAATCTGAGTACCTGCTCATCAAGAGTGCATCATGATACAACACACAGGCGGGGCGGAATGGTGGCCGGCAGCGCCTACAACACTGGCCTCGGGTCACAAGCATCTGTCACCTGACCCCTGAGCTGTAGAGCACTGCCTATGCTGAGCAGCTTAGGGGAAATGTGCAAAAAAGCCATGGGTGCAAACCCACACTTGTCTTTTACTGTGATGGCCCTATATGGACCATGCCTTTAGAATGCAGCAGCACAGGACCCAGCTATGGAACATAAGCATTTCTTGCTACCAAGATTTAAACAGAATGTGTGTCTTTGGCAAGCGTTTTACCAAGCTGCCAGTACAGTTTCCTCTGCATTCTGTGAGTAAACAGAACTGACTGCCTTCTTGCCAGTCTTGAAATGACTCAATTCTTCTCCTTTGCCATCTCACCCCATCCCTCCCCGGAATGCGACTCACTGTGGCTGCAGATAATTCTGCACAAGTGATGAGATACCTGGAAGAGCATATTTTAAACAAACTGGGGCAGGCACATTTGCTGGTCTGGTAGAAAACTCATCTTGAAACTAATCTAGCAGGAAGGTAAGTGAAACTCTGGTGTGTAAATACATTAGGATTGAAGCCTGGTCAATCCTCTCACCCACGGATGGTAACTGGGTTCCTGAAGTAAGAGAATGCGGCTGTCTATTCCCTTCCCTGGGTCAGATTGTTCTCGAGCGCCAGTGCTGCAGTTTGGATCTAGACTCCTCCCATAGGCCCATGTTCAAGCCTCAGGCCCCAGCTCAGTGCTATTGGAGACGGTAGACCCTTTCAAGGGTAGTCTAGTGGGATCTTCAGGCCCTTGGTGCTTGCCCCTGAATTAATTACGGGGCCCTTGGTTTTAGCACCAGGCATGAAGTGATTGGTTCTGCTCAGCCATGACTGCTGCCTTGTCTTAGGCCCAAAATGAAGGAGTCAAATGATCATGGACTGAAACTTTGAAACTGTGAGCCAAAATGAACCCTTTCTCTTTGTAAGCTTGTTATAGTAATGGAAAGCTGACTCATACAGGCAGCAAACTTCTCATAAAGGACCATTTAGTAAGCAGTTTAGGCCTCATGTAGTCTCTGTTGTCTATTCTTCAACTTTTATTTATTTTAAACCTTTAAAGGTTGAAAAATGTTCTTATCTCAAGGGCCTTTCAGATTTGCAACAGCTTAGCAAGCCCCACTTCAGGGAGTTGTCAGAGGAACACGGTGCTTACCAAGTACAATGGGCCTTGGAATGCTGTGTGGGGACTTCTCCTGGACACTGAGATGGGCTGCTGGGCAGGCTGCAGGCAGAGCTCTTCTGTGTTCTTTTCTACTCTGCTCCAAAACTGCAGAGCTGGACTAACATTTTGCTAAATTAAACAGGGCTTCCGAATCTGAATGCTCTCTTTAACCAATGATGCTTAATAAAGCAGGCAGTGAGTCTCAAGACACACATTTGCCACCAGCTACATAAACCTACCTGTGTTGGAGTCAGGAAGTGTATGATATGTGTGTGTGCACACCCACACGCACATGCTCTAAAAAAAGAACTTCTAAGAAACTATGCATGAAAATTCTCCACATTTACAAACTAAAGAGATAAAAAAAAACCTTAAAAATGTCAATTTGGTTGTCTTTTTTTAGATTTCTGCTTAAAAATTTGTTTTTGTCCAAAGGTGAGTTTTTTTGGTATTAAATTCAGACTCTTTCCTGGTGGTGCCAAGGACAGCTGCAGAACAGCAGTTCAGGCTTCAGAACTGGTCATGCAATGCTGGGGCTCCCCAACGACACCGGGGGGTGAGTTTTAACCAAGGGGGCTGTGGACACCGACTGGAAGCTAGAGGGGAATGCAGCAGTGAAGCAGCAGGAGCTCGCTCCTAAGAATCACGGGGTGCCCGGAATGGACACCGACCCCGGTCCTCTTACTGCTGAAGCCCGTGAAACTTCATGAATTTCCCAATTTTTTAAAAAATGAGGTGTTCTAAGGCTGTTGGAAAAACAACAACAAAAACAACAAAAACCAAAACAGGATGATGAAGGTAAGCGCAGGTGGCCAGGAAATAGGAACACCGTGCAGGCAGTGCCATCAGGTAGGCTTGTCTGCAGGAACCAGTCCCAAGGTCCTGGCCCGGGCCGTGGCATCTTTCACACATACCATGCTCTTGTCAGTAGGAGACAGCTTTCATGTTCCTTCATTGTGAACTTTTAAACTGCCTGGTTCCTATTTTTATCTATTTGAACAATTTGCCATTTTTAAATTCGCAAAGAGCACACTGGGTGACAGAGCAAGGCGACATCAGCTCCTTCAGGTGGAGCTCTGAGGCCAGACAGGACAGAAGCCCTAACCGCTTTCTGGTTCTGAGGGCGGGGCACAGCACCACAGCTGGGTGGCACCACAGAAAGCATCTTGCCATTTCTGCTGACATCGAAGTGCATCTGCTGACAACCTAATGTGCCTCTGAGCAGACCCAAATCCTACTAGTTTTGGTGGACACCCTAAGACTCTGGCTATGCAGCTCAACTCCGTGATCTCTCTTTGTCGCTGCTCCTCCGATTAAAGCTGTTAAGACATGGCTAAATGCAATACTTCTACACAGCAGGGCTCATCAAGTAAGGATTTCATTTTAAAGAACAAAAAAGGCAGAGGAGAAACAAAATCACCAAGGATAAAGAGGAGAAACCCTGAGGCAAAAATGGCTTTTCCTGCAGACCGTCCGTGGGAGGAGTGGCGCCTGCTCACAGAGCGCCGGGCCCCTTCTGTGCGGCCAGGCCCTCCTCCATCCAGAGCACTGCGCCTGTGGAGCCGCCCCGCAGCATGCGCTGGTGGATGCGCCGCAGCCGCAGCAGGTAGAGGAGGATGGAGAGCAGGACCACCAGGAAGCAGCCGGAGAACAGGTAGTGGTTGTAGACGAAGGAGACACCCCGCCAGTTGGAGTGACTGGCCCGGAACACCTCCTGCTGGATGTCTCTGCCATGTGGAGACAAAACCAACAGGACGGGTAAGAGGGCAGTGGGGAGAAACTGCTCAGGATGCAGGGTGCAGTGCCCAGTGGGGGCCCAGCCCTGCGGAAGTGCTGCCGGTCTGGCTGCTGACTCTGCTACTTGTGAACTGGGAGAGCATAAGGCCCAAGGTAGGGTGCCTTTAGGTATTTGTGAGATTACATGGGAAAGCCTGTCCCTGAGTTCCTAGCAGTTACTGGCATTACAATTTGAGTCACAAAAATCAGAGAAGGGAAGAAACCCAACACGGGTCATGTCTGTGATGTCCACTGCACACAATTTGTATAGCTGGCCAACTAACAATATTGCCCAAAGATGCTCAAATAAATGGGGGAGAAAAGGTAATATATATCAGTTAAGTAGGGCTCTTAACATGGGATCAACGAAGCTGGATTTATGAACTTGAATTGGGTAAAATGTGTATCTTTATCTTACCTAGACCAAAATTTAATATTTCTTTTGAGAGCAGAGACAACAAAGTACTATAGCAATAGCAAGGCTGTGACTATCTTACTAATGGAAATACAGATTTTTATATCCCATGAGGGTGGCTGCTGCTACAAAATATCATGGACATTCATCATTACACTGACATAGTAGAAATTACTAATTCTGTTGCCAGATCTTGTTATGCAATGAAAATATATGCCGCTATATTACAGATTTGTTTTTTGTGATAGTTTGATGGATGCATTTCAGTGAAATCGTTTTCTCTGTAATTCTGTATGGTTATATTATACATGGAGAAGTCTAAGGACATAAATGTCAAGAACCCCTGAATCAACCCTCTTGCAAGCGACAGGGTACAGACAGCAGACAATACTGCAGAGGGGGCAGCACGCTATGGGGTGGACAGCAAGGGCAGGAGGAAGCATTTGTGGGGCAAGGAGGCTTCACACTCTGTCCACAGGCAGCCGTGACAGCAACAGCCCACACATTTGCACAGCAGCTTCCATGGGACACGAGCAAAGCCTCTGGTGGGATTCTCCTTACTAAACTGGTAGCCTACCTTAAGGGCAAAAAGCGGGTCCGGTAGAGGATGGCCCCCAGGGTCCACTGCACTTCCTTGTCATACACCTGCAAGGCGGTCTTGAGGTTTCTGTAGTTGACAGGAAATGAGAAGCCCCTGTGGAACACCTCAAACATCCAGGCAGATTTGAAGCACTGATACCTGCAAACACCAAGGAGGAACAGGAGTCAGGCGGGTGTCCGGTGTCTGCGTCAGCGCGGCACAGCAGACTGCGCAGGCTCCGCCATGCTGGCTCCAGGCAGCCAGGGGAACTGCACGCTTCTCCAGCTCCTTCACTCTGCCGTGTGCCATGACAACAGCTCACCCAGCAAAATCAAACAGCTTGTGAAACCTGGTCTTGGATTTGATCCATTACCATTACAGATTTCCTTTCCACCTTTAGATAGGCCATCATTTATTTCCTGAATGCTATGCTCATAGGTTATTATAAAATGAGAAGGCAGGAAGGTCCTTTTGAGCTCTGGTATTCTGTGGTCCAAATGTTTACTAAGAGGTTTTTTTTTATACCAGAGATGGAACTCACAACCTTGAACTTGCAAGGCAGGCTGCTTATGCTGCTGTGCTAAGTCCCTGGCCCCTGAGAGGTTTATTTTTTGCAAAGCACTGTGCTAAGTAAAACGGTTGCTACACTTAGATAATAATAAAAGGAAATTAAAAAAATAGTTGGAAAGCACAGCAGAAGAGGAGGAAGTCATGGTGTAGTGAGTGCCCTGGACTCTGGGACAGGAACTGAACCTGGCTGAGTGGACACAGGGCGACTGGCAAGGGCCCATGTCGTCTCCTGAGGCAGAGGTCCAGGGAGGACCAGAGCAAGCAAAGGCATGAACGGGAAGCTGTATAGCAAAACTGAGCCCAAACACAGGCCATATCTGGGAACCAGCACCTGCCCTCATCTGACGGTAGGTGAGGAGGCACGGGCAGACTGCAGGTGGGACTGATGGCGTGCTCAAAGCGCCCTGGGCTGTGCCCGCCCACCACTCACTTCAGCCGATGGAGATCAGCATGCGATGCGTACAGTCCTCGGTCAAAGCGATCCCGCAAGATCAACCACTTTGTTGCACAGTAATCCTGAAACCAAATTTACCCAAAGTAAAACGTTAGTAAAGGACATTTTTTTTTTAAAGCCTAGGTTTCGGGGGCTGGAAACTGGTGATGCCATCAGGCAGGACAGCACAACAGGGTCAGAGTGGGAGGGGAATGGTGGGTTTGCAGCAGTGAGATCTACAGGCCTCGGGTAGGTGAGGATCAGAAGCTCTTCCTGAGGGGCAGCAGCAAACCACGGCAGGGTCAAGGCCCCACTAGAGCACGGAGGCCTGAGAGACATGGGCCAGCATCAGGGGCCACCAAGCTGTAAGGGACTTGGGACAAGGAAACCTTTGGAGGAACCCAAGGAAACACTGACGGGGCTCTCTCAGAAGCACGTGGGGGCAGACAGCTTCCTGGAAGGTCACCTTCGCGGCTTTAGCAAATTTCATGGCGTTGTAGTCTCCCCCCATGCGCAGCACATCCTCAGTGCAATAGTAGAATTCTGAAAAGCCATAGAATTCGCTGTTCTGGAAGTGAATGGGCGGCTGGTAGACCCCGTTGAGGGACGTCTGCGTCTCATTGGTTTTGTTCATCAAAGGCTGCAGAGTCTCTCGGCAGAGGTTGAAGTCTCCAGTGCCCTGCAGGTACATCTTCTGCCCGTTTTGCTGGATCTCATCTTTAATGTCCAGCGGCAGGCAGGGGTCCAGGTACGGGGAATCAGCAGTCAGACCGGTTTGTGTGCCCAGCAGCCTATGGCACATGGAGCAGATTCATCAGGGGCCAGTGTCCCTCTGTGTGCTGGGAAGCAGCTGCAAAGCAGTGTTCCTGCATGCATACTCTGTGACACTTGCAGGGCCCTGTCTGTGGGCCTCGATAACGTGGTCAGGAGAACTGGACCCCTTCCTGGCCCTCCTGGAGACTCCAACACACAATCATGTGTGTGGCAGCTACAAGAACCACGTCCACAAAAACAACCTGGCCCAGGACCTGATGTTCCCAACTCCAGTGACACCCACTGACATCCTGGCTTTCCCTGCCACTCAACTGCTGAGTGTGTGTTCTTCCAATCGGGCTACTGATATGTGAATATAACCAATAAAGAGCTCCACTACAAGCTGTTCACTTAGTTTAAAAATCAATTTCCATTATAAATAGCGGAGTTATGTCAATTTATGACCTAGGAAACACATGCAATTGCTATAGAAGTCAAGAATAGTCAAATACATCAAGCCACTGTATGTGCTGTCCTATCTCTAAGAGCCACTGACTGTATGCTATGAAGAGACTTTTAAGAAATCAGTAATAAAAGCAATGAGTAAAAATAAAGGTTTCAGGAGGTCTTCAGTAAGTCTGCAAATACGTGATTCAAATGTAATTTTCTAGCAAATGTACTAAATAGCTCAACTTGGTCTTTATTGAAGTTTGCGTCCTCACGAATTTATAAGTGGTCAGTAAGGATGCTACTGATTAGCTCTATTTAGGGCTTTACCCTTCAAAATTGTTTCCTCAAAACAAATCAGTAAGACATAATAATAAGACATCTTACATGATTCTAGGTTCCAATTAATTCATTCAAATAGCTTTTCTGTTCTTTTGGATAAATTTCAAATAAATAATTGCTATATACTTAAAAAAAATCCTTAGACTGAGAGAGTGCCACCTTTGTTTTATATGTTCTGTATTCCAGGAACTTATACTCTTCTTTGTTTTTTTGGTACTGGGAACCAGAATTAGGGCCTCACGCTTGCCAGGCAGGCGCTGTGCTGTTGAGCTACGCCCGGCCCCAGTGCGTTCAGTTTTGAAGTTTCACTGGTGAAGTTTTAAAGCCCTCTCACTCCAGATCACTCCCCGCTCCTGAGTGACTCCCTTCTCTCGGCTCCCAGCCACTGAACAGCTGCCCAGGCCTTCCCGAAGCAACAGCATCCTCTGTCTGAGTCTTCTCCAGCCCAGAGCTCACGCTCATTGCTCACTGTGGGACCCCAACAGAGCTGCAGGTGTGACATCACCCCGGCCTTCCCGCTGTTTTGTGGCCTCGGGGAATTCTCTATTCCAGCGGGTGAGGCACAGGTGTGAGAGAAAAACCCAGAAAATGCATTCTTCTGGAGCCTGATGGGGCCAGGACTGGCGGCGGTACCCTGCCACGCTCCTGGTCCTCGAGCTCCCACAGCCTATGTACTTGTGCTGAGTGAACTCCCTGGGGGGCCTGGGTCTGCTTTTGGGGAGGGGACCCCAAGTCTTCGAGGGACTGCTGTGTCATGGGAGGTGCTTTACCTGTTCTTCTGAAACACGCTGGCAAACAGTCTGTCTTCATATCTCTGTCGAGCGGCATTGCCACCAAACCCAAGGAACGTGGCGACATAGACCCGGTATACATGCTCAGTTCGGTGGACATCGCATCCCAAGTTGAATTCAGCTAACAAGTTTTTAGCTACTTCCTCCTGCAGACATAGGATGACGAATTTTAATATTTTTAAAGCAACTTTACTCCTGTTTTAAATATAACAGCTCAAAAAGTCACCTAACAGTGGCAAACATTTTTGCTTGTACGTTTCCCAAGGACTCTTTCAAGTACTCTGTTTTGTTTTTTGAGACAGGGTCTGACTGTGTCCTTCAGGTTGGCCCTAGACTCTATGTAGCTCAAGCTGGCCTTGAACTTGCTGCAATTCTGTCTCTGAGTCCTGACTGCTAGGGGATTACAGGACTGTGGCACGTCCTCTGCTTAAGTATTCTTCGTAATTTGATAGATGGTGCTGACTTGAGAAATTTCAGCTGTGCTGCATATTGGTAATACTGTGACTTTCCAAGAAAGAAGTCAGCAAAATAGTTCATACCTTCTGACCCTAGAAATGTATAAAATCTACACTGTAGACATAAACCTAAATACAGCAACTTCTCTATACACAAAAGTGATCTTTGTGATTCTATGCTTAAAAAATATCACCAGAAGGTTTTTAATTAAAATAGTAATAGTGATTCACAGAGAAACATGGTTATGCAGTGTTAAACAAAGGATACAAAAAGATCATACAAAATAAAATTGTAACTACATTTAAAGGACTATAAATAAGGAAAAAGAACGAAATTTATCAAAATGCTAATAATTTCTTTGGACGATGAGTCTATGAGAAATTTGAAATGTTTGCTATCAGTTTCCCCCCAAATTCCTTTATATGGCACTTGTTACTTTATATTAAGGATGGAAAATATGATTTACATAGAGTGTAACAGTTTGTACGGTAATGTCTGGAAATGGAAAGTGGGAAATGCATATTAAAATCCTCAATTTATGAAGAATTTTTCTTCTTCTTCTTTTTTTTTTTGGTACTGTGCCATGGAGCTACACCCTTGGCCATATAAAGCATTTTTTCAAGGAGCTTAATAAAGACACCCATGACATCTTCTGAGTGCCTTGTTGTGGGGCATGAGGATACCCTGTGTGCACTCTCATAAGATTGTAACGTATGGTCACACAACTACTGAGGGATAGGACGATGGTGTCATCTAGGCACGGCCCGCTCCATAGCCTGTGAGTTACCACACTGGGTCGTGTCCCTGCCTCCTGGGGGACAATGCAGAAGACCAGACTTCTGTGGTAATTTACAGTCACAGACACAGACCAAGTCAGGGCCCCAGCCCCCTGAGCACCACAGCCCGTGACCGAGTGCTGAGGCAGCAGGTGGAGAAAAAGCAGAGGAAACCCTGGGTTCAGTGGACATCACCTTCAGTCCTTTCCAGAAATTCTGAAGCTGACTGAGGCATGGCAAGAAAAAAATTAAAAAAAAGAATTTTCCCCAGTGATAACTTAAAAACCTGATGCTACTGAATTAAGTTTTTAAAACCCTGTTGAGAAAAGGAGTGACTGAAGAGATAATGTAAGCAAAAACTGAAGCATGCAACTGACAAGATATACCAAAGAAAAGCTAAGTCCCAAAAACAAACCAGCTGGCCTCAAGGCCCCGAGGCCATCCTGAGGCTTGGCAGAGCCCGCCTCGTCCTCCTGCCTCCTTCCTCCCGGGCTGAGAAGGTGGCACCTCGGCAAGCACAGTAAAGTTGTGTCAGACTCAGGAAACAAAACAAAAATGAATGGAGACATGTTAAATGAAAACCAAACCAACAGAAGGCAATTTGTACAGATAGTAACCTGCTGCAAGGAGGCAAAGCTTACAGTTTCGGGGACTTCATATGCTATCTGGGTGGACACGCCTCCCATGTCCAGGATGCCGGCTGTCCTCTTCCGGATGATGGCCTTGCTGTTCTCACTGCCGGGGAGGCTCACCTCCACCACGGCCTCCTCATCTGCAGAGACAGGACACACCGGTGGGAGTGGGCCAGACCCAGAGCCTGGGTCCTCCTGAGGCCGCTTTGTTTTCTGAGGTTATGTTTCGCGCAGGAGGGCAGCCCTGCCTCTCCTCCCAGCAAGACTGAGGCTGACAGTGCCTGCTCCCGCTCTGCTCCTGCACACTTGGCCGCGTCACTGACCCAGCTCCCTTCTCAGCTCTGACCACAATTTCCGGTCAGATCCATTAGCTGCCAGCCAGACACTCACCCTCCTCAATATGCTCAAATCGTCCAAGGACAAAATTAATGCCGATCCACGCGTACACACCTACAGTCAGTGAACAGAGCAAAAATAGGAAAATCTAAGTTTTGAAACATTTTCTGTTTCAAACTCTTATCAATGCAGTCTGTGCAAACATCTCATGTATTTTAATCTCTATTCTCAAAAATATCACTAAATGGCATATTTCTATTATTATTTTTTCCTAGTAGTTTCCAAGAACTCTCAAATGTTTAGCATTTTTATATTTTGTTTTCTGAGAAAGGTCTCGCTTCGTAGTTTACGCTGGCCTTGAACTGACGATGCAGCCCAGGCTGACCTCAAACTCAAGGCAATGTACCTGCCTCAGCGTTCCAAGTGCTGGGACTGCTGGCCTGTGCCACCAGGCTTGGCTCTGAATGTTGCCAGTTATAGTTTTATGTCTTTCATAGAGGTTGAAACTATAATTCCTCTGGTACTTGTTTTCCTTTGAAACTTCAAGATTGTTTCAAAATATCACATTTTAAAAATTTTTTATGAAGTTTTATTTTTGTAGGAAATTAAACCTATCAATTGCAAAGTTTTACAAATTCAAGTTACCTTCTACTCTGGTATTTCCTTTATTCCTGAAATTCACTCGTTTGCCAAGTCTGATCCATTTCTGCGTCATTTCTATACCCAATTTCTACCCACTTTTCACTGCCACGTGGTTCCTGTCATTTCAGAGTGTGGAAGTGACGGGCTGTCTAATCGGTCCTTCTGTCCTACCCATCCTGGGAAGCCCACTCTGTCCTCTGCACTGTGGGCTGATCCACAGAACGAAGTTTTAACCCTTGGGCTGGCACGTCCAACAGTGATCTGGTTTGTAATGCTACTACCACCTTTCTCACAGGCCACCATCCAGGCAAACCCGCTGTCCAGGTCATCCTTACCGACCTGAATCGACTCGGGCATTTCTTCTGCTTGGTATGTGTTCCGAGCCCAGCCTCACCCTCTGGTGTGGTCAATTCACAACATCCCTTTGCAGCACAGTGGCATAATTCAAAAGGTGACTTCCCCACTGATGGTCCCACCTGGGGGAAAAAATGCCTCTCTCTCCAACCCCCACAGTGTTTCCCTTATCTTCCTTTGGCTCCTGAAGTGACCTCTTACAGTTCTGTGTTCTTCACTGGTCTGTGAGTAGCTCCACGGCAGTCCGCCTACCTCTGTGCGTTCTGCGGGGCCTTTCACAGAGGAAGAACTTGCTGAACTGACAGACGACTTGGAAATAGACTTTACTTTTAGGTCTCCATTTCTACCAAGCTATGCCCCAAGTAATTCCACTAATTTATTTAATTCTCAAGTAGAATCACTTCTTTGAAGACAGAACTAATTTGAGAATTTCTGTTCTCTAGTGAGTAAGTCAGGGTTCCAACAGCCCAACAACGCTCCCAGTCCAGCAAGCCACATAGCACAAACCTCTTCCATCACAATGAGTTCAAAGTCTGCTCCCTAAACATTGGGAAGGTAAACTGTTATTTCTGCTATTTTTTAATGACTGCAACATTTGGACTAGGGATATAGCTCAGTGGCACAGGGCATGCCTGGCAAATGTAGGCCTTAAGTTTGATTCCCGGTACCAAAAAAAAAAGAAAGAAAATTTGAGTAATAAAGGCCAGGCATTAGGAAACTCATTTAATCACTTAAAGATAGTATTTCAAGGATATGAATTCCCCAAGCTTGTATTAAAAATAATTCAATATAGCAATACTGGGAAGGATGTAAAAGAACATCTCCCCAGATCTCCCCTGAAGGCTCATACACCAACCTTCTTGTTTTCCGGAAATGACTTCAGCGTGTGAGTCAGAAAACAGAAAGTCAAAGTGCACAGGGATGTCAGTCAGGAGGTCTTCCAGGATGGCCTTCTGCTGGCTGTAAGGCAACCCAAAATTCACGTGTCAAAAGAATGTGTCCTCAATTTCTCTATTCTGAAAAGAAGAAACACAATTCCCATGGCTCTGATATAGCCTACATGAAATACTTTTTGTTTCTGCATTAATGGGGTTTGACTCCAAGGCCTTGCACACACTAAGCAAGTGTCCTCTACCAAGCGACAAACCCAGGATTTCTTTTTTTTTTTTCATTTTATTTTGAGATAAGGGCTTGCTGAGTTGCCCAGGCTGGCCTTGAACTTAGGGATTCTCTTGTCTTAGCTTCCTGAGTTGCTGAGGTTACAAGTATGTTAACCACACTAGCCTAAAATAGCTCATTTTAAACATAGAGCAATTCGTTCAAACTATTATTTTAGGAATGATTTTTTAAAACAAAAAGCTGTGTGAACTGTATGATTCCTAGATGTAAAACTGTAACTACACATATGCCTTAAACAGTAAAACAGATTATGTTTAAAATGACACACTTATGGTTTTCAGTTATAAACAAGTACATTGAATGCTACTTGGTGGGTTGTGGCCAGGGAACAGCTCTGGGACCACTCCTCCATATGAAGACAGGAACCTGAATGTCTTGCTTCTGATGCTGGTGGCAATAGGTGACAGTGATGGCAATGAGGGAGGCAGGGAGGAGGGGGGGAGATGGGAGCACTGGCGGCCCCGGCCCTGGTGAGCAGGGTCACCTTTTAGGAAGGACTCTCATGCCAGCTGTGCAGAGGATGTAGAGAGGTGTCTCTTTGTGTTTTGCTCGTGGCACGTGCTCTGCAGCGAAGTTCAGCAGTGGAGAAATGTAATCGCTGACTTTCTCCGGAGAGGTAGCAAATTCTGAGATGCCTAGAGAAACAGGATGAGCCAGTCACAGGCTTCTTCAGTGGCCCAGGCTGGTGCAAAGTAAGCTATCCTCTCCTCCCTTAGTGCTGCCGCCCCGCTCTCCTCACTGCTTGGCACTGAGCGGTCACTCGCATGCCCTCTGCTGTCATCAACCACTTCTGGCCTCACAAGCATCACCCCTCCGTGGGAAGCTCACATACTCACACGGCTGCTGCCACATCTTCAAGCCAGGGGTCTCCACATCTCACCGCCAGGCCCCAGCCCCTCGGTTCCTCCATTTGCTCTAAGTCTGGCCTGTGTACTCAACCACCCTCATCTCTTGCCAAGTTCCTCCCATTCACTAGTGGCTCCGCTGAACTAACAGATCAGCCTACCAGACCTGTGCGCCCCACCAGGAAGAGCCTTCTTTCTCTCCTCTTTCACCTGGCTGACTTCCTCACGTCACCTCAGCTCCTCCTCCATGGCACCGTCCCAACAGAAGCCTAACAGAGATGAACTCTCGCTGCATCCTCCACATCTCAGCCCTGCTCGTTACACTCCCTATGCCATGGCAAAATCACTTACTCGACTGCCTGTCTCACCACCACTGCAGGTTTCTGAAGGGTACACACTGTGTCTTGTTTAAGTGAATTTGTACCCACTGCACCTAACACAGTGCCTGGCAAACACTCAGTGACCATCTGCTGAATGAGCACGTAAGGCATCGGTGGTGAGCTGCTTTGGGCACCTGTGCCACAGCGGGCTGTGTGTATCACTGAAGGCTCCAACATTGACCACCGCCAATGGAAGTAAGAGACTGCCACTGAGCCTCCAAGGGTGAGAATGAATAGACTCTGGAAGGCCAAAATTTCCTTGTTTCACAGATTCAGAGATTGTGGACCAGAAAGGTGAGTGGTTTGTCAAAAGAATCTGTAGAAAATGGACTGAAAGACAAGCCTTTTGTATTACATATAATGCAATTTCAAGACCAACCCCCAAACTGGCTATAATATAAATTTCTATAGCCTTGCTACAAACAAAAGTGCCCAGGTTTCAAGACACAGAAGTGTTATAAAAAGTACCCCAACTGCCCTCTTGACACTGCACAGTGAGAGGGAGCCATGCTAAGGCTGGTTTTACTAAGACGCTCGTGTATACTGTGGGATGATGTAGTTGCCCCTTTGTTTCAAAAGGACAACTCTAAGGTGAGAACACTTTCATTTTACTCCATGAGAAGTGCTTAATTCCCAAGTGAACCTGGTATAAAAGGCTAACGGCAATGCAAGCTGCTTTACTGAGTTTTATTAGTCTTGTAGTGAGCTTTCATTTGATCAACATTAACCCTGAAAATCATTCTAGATTGGTACAAATTTCAGTAGGACCGTAGAAAATTGAAAGTCATTCACTAAGTCTTTGTTCATGGAAATAAGACTTTGATATTACTTATATTTCTGAAATGGGGATAATAAGTTACTATAATTAAGATTTATCAATATTCTTTTTAAAAATTTTTACTTGACATGCAATAACTGCATATTTGGGGGGTACTGCGATAATTCGATACAGGTATACAATGTATGATGATCAAATTGGAGTAATTAGCATTTCAATCTCTTCAAACATTTGTCATTTCTTTGTTATCTTGAGTATTTTAAAAGTTAATTTCCTCAGATAGTTTGGATTTAACGTGAGTTACTACATTCATAGGACAAAATAAGAGCTCTGTACCTTTATTAAGATCTACAGCTGTTTAAAGTTAGGGCCAGGTGTATAGCTTAGTGGTACAGTGCCTGCCTGCCAAGCACAAGGTCCTCAGTTTGATTCATGATACTAAAACAAACAAACAAACAAACAAACAAAACAAAATCAAAGAAATTTAAGATTTGCAGTTATTAACTCTCAAGACAAAGCAAGATAAAGTCATTTTCAAATATTCCTGAGGTCTCTATTCCTAAAGCTCTGGACAGAAGCTGCCACTCACAGAAATGGTAATGATACCTTTAACCACTGATTTAATGGGGGCCAACCCTCAATGTCACGTGTCATATTGGCCTAGAAATGAAAAATGAGACATGATTATATTACCTGTTTTAAATTCTATGATCACCCTTATTATATAATCTAGATGATTAGAAACATTTGGGGTAATTTGTAAAAACCACAAACATATGCCAATGTATCACAGTACAGATTTTCCTGAGTTACCTGCAATTGCCTTGTTATCAGCATTGAGGGATGGGGGAGGACAGAAAGGCACCGCAGAACGTAGGTGACGGCACAGACGGTCTGCGTCACCTACCTGGTTTTATTTTCATCACCACGGGCTTTCGGTTCTTATCCCTCATTTGTCTGATGTCCAGCAGATCATGAGGGTTGCCGTTGTGCCTCGGCCAACAATAGACAAAGACCCGAGAGCCACTGCTCCCACAGTCCACCACGATCCCGTAGTTCACATTGGGGTTGTTGGTGTCTGTGGCTTCAATGTCGGTCACTCGGGCCAAGTATCTGGGGTAGCAAAACACATGCGCCTTTACTGAGACGAGATGCTGTCCTGTGCTTGAATGACAGAGAAACTGCAAAGCACAAATGCCAGCTGGGACTTCCAGGCTTTGTCGGAGGATTGGTACGGCAGTCCCACCACGGCCAGAGAGGGGGAAGAGACAGGAGAGTTGATGTTGATGAATAAGCCCACACTCATTACACCTGGACAGAAGGTCGCACAGGCTCCAAAAAGCAAACTCTCTCCAAACTGCAAAGTTTAGTCAAAACCCAGCTTAAAACACTAGAGAGGTGCGCTTCTACCTAAGTAATTATCTGAGGGCCTCTTTCAGTTTGGCGCTCACGCTACGAGGTGGAACAGAATCTGATTCCCACAACCATGTGGTCCTCATGTGCCAGCCTCCCCACAGAAACCCCTGAGCCAGGAGCTGATGGTGCGCTGCCTGAATACTGTGCTCCCACCACCGAATTCACTTGTGAAAAACCAAACTGCCACCGTGATATTACCACCTGGGGGTGATTAGATCTTGATGGCTAAGAGCCCAGACAGCCCCCCACCTTCACCATGCGAGGGTACAGCGGAAGGGACAGGGTTCCACCTACGATCCAGGAAAACAGGCCCTTGCCAGATGCAAAAGCTTCTGGCACCCTAATCCTGGACATCTCGGCCTCCAAATTATGAGAAATATATGTCTCCACTGTTTATAAGCCGCTGCCCACAGTATTCTGTTACAGCAGCCAGGACACACTGAGCCACAAGGACGGTGTCCCTTCTCGAAACAAATGAGTTTCCCTCTTACCTTTGAAACTTCTTGTCTCTGGAGAGTCGCCCATACTTATTTCGGATTATGACAACAGAGAAGTATACAAGTGAGACAGCAGCAGCCAAGACGCTAATGACAATGATTTGGCGTAAATTGGTATTCAGAATTCGTGGACAGCTCACTGGAGAGATGCTGAAATGCCATGAAGCAGGAAAGAGACAGGAGATGCCAATCCTGAAACACCAAATGAGAGCTTCTAAAGCAACACGCTCTCAAGGGGCCTCCTCTCACCTGAGCGGATTCCGCAGTAAGACGCGTGGCCTCCGTTCACCCTACTTCCCCACCCACTGCTGTCAGGAAGGAAACTTTCCTTCTCAGTTTGTCAGGACAAGATGCTCATTCTGAAACTATTATTAGGCTTTAATGGACTAAAACGGCTTGGTGAACAGGAGGTGGCCTGCTAGCCCCATGAGCTTTGTGGTTTCTTGACTCCATGGAGGTTCAGAGCCATTGCAGCCTCCTCCTCCTCTCAGAAGCAGTATCAGCTCTGCTGTGCTTAACATAATCCCCACAGAACACAGAAGTGCAGGCTTTAACTGCAGCCTCCAATCGGACATTATCACTTTCTTCCTGGGACAGATGTCTCGCTTGGCCTCAGGGGACTAATGGTATTCATCAGCACGACCTCCAACACTTTCCTCTTGGGATTTTTTTTTTCTTCCAGCAAGGAAGATTTTCACACCAAAATCTCACGTATAATAGCACCAGGCACTAGGGTCACCACTCACCTCCCCATACTGAAAAAAAGGCCAGCGACCAGGCAAGGCTATGGGGGGTCCGTATGCCTTACACAGTTACGGCAACAGTGCTGGGGTCCTTCTTGAGTCACCGTCCTTCTGTTCCAGGAACTGGGAAAAATCAAAGATAGCAAAATCAGGAAAAAGTGTATTCCTGTGAAGTGTGTGCTTAAAGCCAACCATCTACCAATGGATAGACAGGTACCTCTGTGCTGAAACTGTTGGAAGGGTTTATTCTGGGCAATCTAAGTTAATTTTATGCTGCTGTTAATGTACGCCTAAATCAAGAGTCTGGAACTTAATTCACACTCACCCCAATACTGAGACATTATATAGGCTTTGAATAGCTCAATACTCTATGTTAAGGAAGGCGTGGAGAGATAGGCAGAACGATGAAATGAATAGGGCGGTCTGCTCAGGAAGGTCTGTATTAGACTTCACTTTTATATACAAAGCACCCTACAGGGTGCTATGTCCCCAAGTCCCTGTTCTTTTCACCTCCTCCTCCTGCCCTAGACCACACATCACAGAGACCAGGGGCCTCCAGCACGAGAGCTGATGGTGCAGAGGATATTTCTCAGTCTCTCTTCTTGGTTCGGGAGGTTGCTTTATCTCTTTGAGCTTCTCCAGTCTTTGATCTTATGTAGTCTGCTTCTTGGCTCTTGATTCTGGATCCTCCTGGCTGTCTGCTCCTGCACCCACCAGGGCTCTGTCTCTTTTAACTTAAGCCCTGCTCCTGTTCAACTTCATCACTGCTGCACTTACCAGGTAATGCAAACATTTCTCCACTGGTTTCTCTCCTGAGCTGCACCTTCAAGCCTCTCCGAGATATCTCCACCTGATGCTTGCACCGGCAATGCAACCCATTTTTAAGCTGTAATTCCCTCTTTTCTCTTGGTCTCATCAAGCTGCACAAATCAAGAAAGCTATGCCTGACGTCTGCTGCCATTTCATCTTCCATACGCCACTTCATCTTCCATACCCAATTTCTTGGATTGCTACCATTTCTTTAACTTCAACTCTCCTAAAACCTTTCCTTTATCACCTTTCCCAAGGCCAGGCAGTACCTCTTCACTGCTGTTCTCCCGCAGTGCCCCCAGGGGCTCTAAAAGGCTGCCCCAATGCCCTCAGGCACAGAGTCTGCCTCTGAGGTTGGAATCCACACTTTCCCCACTCAGGACGGTGATCACATTACTGACGCATCAAATTCCTCCTGGGGCTCCCAGCCACTTACATGCAGAGGCTTTATTGTGCCGACGAAGTCCTGCAGCTCTGGCCACCTGTTCATCTACCCTCTGCTGTTCACAGAACTCCAGCCAAACTGGTGCCCCTTCACTCAAGAATGGCAGGCACACTGGTCTCTGACTTTCTGCTCCCTCTGCTTGACAGCCACCTGCAGGGCTCTTTTCTTCCCAGAATACATAACAGTAAACGTTCCCTCCTACCATTTACCTTTTTCTCCTTAGCACTGACATCTTTCGTAGATACCTACATAAGTATTTATTTTGAGCCAGGGCCTATTCCAAGTGTTCTACAAATATGAATTTAGTCCTAATGACCTAGTAGGTAGGTGCCATTATCAGCCACTTTACAGATGAGACAGAGGGGCTAAGTGACTTGCCCAAAGCCATATAGCTAATAAAAGGCAGAGCTGGTGTCTAAGCGCAAGGTAACAATCCTCTGACACTTCGTGAGCACTGTCTGCATGTCTATTCACCGATCTTCCCACTTAGAACACAAGTTCTGCGGGGCCAGACTCAGGTCTGCCTGGGTGGTGGCCACCTTCCTACCCTGGCAGATTTGAAGCTCTTTCCTGGGTTCAGAGTTTAGGGCTCTACAAGGTTAAGAGTGTCTACAGTGATCTTTCCAGAACACAGAGGAACTCCTTGCCTGCAGCCCGTCTCCCACTGGGGGGGCTAGGGGTAGGGAGTCCTAACCCTGCAAGAAGTAACAGAGGCCTTTCATGTCCTGGGCCTGTACGTGCCATGCACAACTATTTAAAATCTAACAACAGGTGAACGCTTTGTTTCTGGGGGGCAAGAGCCTCACAAATGCTCAAAGCTTCACACTCTCCACAGGCCAGTGCAGGTGTGAAAGAGGGACAGCTACACAGCAAGCGCCGGGGAGCGCTGAGCAAGTCCCTGTCCCGGTCTCCATGTGTACCTGAAGACCCAGTTGGTCTAAACACAGGATCCCCAAAAAGCCTTGTACTCCTCGGCACTCGCAGAACGCCCCTCTCGTGGGTCTCAGCGGGGGTTCCTGAGTCCCCAGGGCACACTCCTCTGCGGCCACCTCCCCAAACTCCAATCCCTGGGTCTGCTTATTGCAGCAGTGCGCCCGGGCTCTGCATCTGGGGCTGACTCATTAATCCTGCGAGTCCTACAAGGGTGGAACCTGCCTGTTACTCTTCTGTTTCCCCAGTGACCCATGACTTGCCACACGAGTGACGCGAAACCATCATTCGTTTCATGCCTGGTTAGAAATGAGGCACACGGAGAGGAATCTAAGCCAGGCATGGTGACACACTTCTGAAATCCTAGTACTGTGGGAGGCTGAGGCAGGAGGGTTGAAGCTCAAAGACAGCCTCGGCAAATTAAAGAGACTCTGTCTCATAAAAAACAAAAGGGCTAGGACTGCAGTTCAGCGCCAAGGTCCTGGGCCCATTCCCACAAGGAATAAATAAATAAATGCAGCGCTTAAGAACTTCGAACCCAGTAGAAGGGATAAAAAAGACACACAAAGATATATGCAGTGAGAAATAATAATGCAGACTGAGGGGGAAATCACTGGAGTGTGAATTTTACTATAGTACCCATATTGTGTCACGCACCCCAAATTCAAGACAAGCAATATTTGTGATTTAACTTTAAACAAACAAACAAAAAACAAAAAAGTACCAATTACCTTGTATTTAAAGAAATTTTAATATTTTTATAAAATAGTTATCTTTTTTTATGTGTGTGGGGTGCTGGGAATTGAATTCAGGACTTCGTGCTTGCCAGGCAGGCACTGCACCACTGAGCTGCATGCCTAGCCCCTAAAATAGTTACCATTTAGCATTTCAATATGGTGAAATTATTAAATCATATCTTTTGCTAGAATTCTAATGTCTTAAAAGATTTAAATACTAAATACTCATAGAAAGAGATAACCTTTTGTTATGTATTTATGTAGGAACCTTATTGGTTCCTACAAATTACACCAATGTCTGAAAATATCAGTGAAAGAAAATATGATTTTACAACCAATCCCTTCCAAAAAATACATGATTTGAGAAAAGCATTTTTAAACATTCATTATAAAAGGCAAACGGCCTATACATATAAGACATTCTTATAAAATAAGAGACACACTGGAACAGAAAAACTGGCAAGGACTTCCGGGAGAACATAGCGGATAGATAACAGCAGCTACAGAGGCTCTCTGAGATAGCCAGCTTAGATTCCAGAAATGGTGCGGTGTGGGGAGTCCTAAGCAGGGGAAGATATACCCTGCTGACCCAGGAACGAACTAAGCTGAGAGAAACCAACTGGAAATGCAATTCTGGTGCTACAACTGAAACAGCTAAAGTCTCAGTGCCGAAGCTGGAACCTGCGCCTCTGGAAACTGCGGCTTGAAATTCCTGCTGCTGCTGCTGAATCTGAATCTGCACAGCAGGGATAAAGATGCAAAAGCTCTGAGAGCAGGAATCGGTAAACCGAATTGAGAGCAGGGCTGGTGGGGAGCCCTGCATCGACCTGTGGTGAGTGAGAGGAATGGGGACCCTTCCATAGACTAGGAGGCTCCAACAGAGGACATTCTGGGATTGGGCAGGCTAGGGAGAACAGGACGCTGCATTGACTTCAGTCACATATTCCCCTCTCAAGTGGGATTGGTGGGGAGCGCTTGACCTGGGTGACGCCGTGGACTAAGACCCAGTAGGCTAGCCCAAACCAGGTCCCTGGGTCATGCAGTGCACTCTAATGCAGTGAAGCCTTTAGCAGGTTGACTGACCTGGAGGGGCGGGCCCAGCATAGGCTGCCCAGGTCTGTGTCTTCCTAGTATACTGCAGTGGGTGGGAATACCTAGCCAGAGTGATTCAAATAAACTGTAACCGACAAAGAAAGAAACTGGGCCTACTACATATGCTTGTATGGAAGGAACAAAAAGTATGGGAAGAGGGAGCAACAAGAAAGGGTCCTCAGTCCCCAATCCTGAGAACACTGATCCACGAAAGGTAAATGCAAAGGAGAATGAGGACAGAAAACACGCAATATCAGGCATGGCACCAATAGAAATAAAGCGATATCTCCGGGACCTCATAGATGAGTTCAAAGGTGAAGTATTTAACCAAGTAAAGCAAGATATAAGTAGAACAGTTAAAGAAATGCTAAGCACCTCCCAAGAAAAAACAGACAGTGGAATGGAAGAACAGAAAAAAAGGGGAGAATGGTTTGATGGAGAAAATAGAGAAAATGTAGAATATATGAAGCAGGTTCAAAGAGATTACCAGGAGACTAAAAACTCTATTGAAAGCTGGCATAACAGCTTGAAAGAAACTAAGGATAGACTATCTGAACTGGAGGGCAGATATGTAATGTGGGAGCATGAAGGAAAAACTTCTTAAAAACAACAAGGAAACAAGCAGTAACAGTACAAAGGCTAGAAGATCATAAGAGGATCTATAACTTAAGAATTAAGAATGTAAAGGAAGAAACAGGGATACAAACAAATGAACTGCAAAGGCTATTCACAGGAATAATCAAAGAGAACTTCCCTAATATGGGAAAAGGTAAAGATACTCAGATCTATGAGGCACACAGTATCCCAGCCACCTACAGTCCAAACAGAACTGCACCCAGGCATATAATATTCAAAATCCCAGAAATCCAATATAAGAACAGAATATTAAAATCTGTCAGAGACAAGAAACAGATCATTTACAAGGGAACACCCATCAGAATTATAGCAGACTTCTCGGCACAAACCATCAAATCACAAAGAGTATAGGCGAAATAATTCAAGCTTTAAAAGACAATAACCTCCAGCCAAGATTGATATATCCTGCACAACTGTCCCTAGAAATTAATGGAGAAACAAGGTGCTTCCAGGATAAAGAGGAACAAGGGGAA